CTCTTCATGATGTCTTCGTCAGAAAAGTAAAAATGCTGAAGAAGCCCAAGTTTGAATTGGGAAAACTCATGGAGCTTCATGGTGAAGGTAGCAGCTCTGGAAAGGCTACTGGAGATGAGACTGGAGCTAAAGTTGAACGAGCTGATGGATATGAACCACCAGTGCAAGAGTCCGTTTAAGATCCAGATTTTTAATAGTGATAAATAAAGTCCTATTTGTAAAAAAAAAAAAAAAAAAAAAAAAAACTTCCTCTCCCTGGATGCACTCTGCTTTTTTTCTGTTCTGCCTTTTGCATATAGTATCTCCTCGACTCTATCTTAATTCTCTTCTATTCTGTCCTCATATCAATTTGTTAAAGGAATCGGATTCCCCCAACCAGGGATTGTTACCCATAGTTGATCAAACTATGGTAGTGTGAAGATGTTAGGGTTTTTATAAAACAGGTGTGAGTTATAAATCCCTACTCGTACTAAGTTGATTTACCAAGGTGATAAACTGTGCAGAATGCTGGGCCGCGCTCTCTGTGGAATTTATGACTTCCCGCAGTTGAGCATCAGCCATGCTTGCCCACTGAGATCCTACTCCCCAGGCATTCCGAGCTGCAGCCTGCTTTGTCCATTCATCCATCAATGTGCCTTTGGAAGGAGTCCTGCAGCAGTGAAAGGGAACCAGTGGAGCTCAACAAAGGACTTTGGCCTTTGAGGCCTTTGGCAGCAGCTTGCTTTCTGCCCACTCTATTTGTAGGGATTACTCTTCCTAAGCACTATTCCTATGGAGACAGATGTTCCTTTTGCTTGCTTCTTTGTACAAATTGGCTTCAAGTCTTATAATTAGAACTGGGCTCCTTCAAGTCTTGGTATTCAATTCATGTATTTGCAGTGCAGTTCACTGCCTTGAGGGGCAGGCTCTGGCAATATTTACAGAGTTCAAACGTGGGTCCTTGACAAAACTGAATGCATTCGTTTCAGATTTTGAGGCATATTTGTTCTTTTGATGTTGGTATTACAAATTAGGTAGTTTTGTATCCTATAATTTGTGGAATTAAAATCAGATACATGCCAACAATAGAACTAAGAAAATTTCAAATGTTCCTATAAATATATTTAATATCTAGTGATTACTAGTGAACATTACAATAAATCTGATATCACAGTACACAAAATTAGCTTTATAACTCAAAGTTAATAATAGTACTGTGTCGCCTTTCACACTTTTTCAGGTGGTTTCACGTCTATTTTCACACTTGATTCTCAATCTGTGAAATAGGTGAGGTGCATATATTTATCCTCAAGTTCCAAGCAGGCAAAATAAAGTCCAGAAAATGTAAGCAGTTGGCCCAGAGTCTCAGAGGCTGTACAGGAGGCAGCTTGACCCGTGGTCTCTGACACTAGACAGACTCCATTCTGAGACACATCTCCTTGATGGCTGACGCTCCTCCGTCACTTTGCCCAGTACAGGAAGCTGAGTCGGTGCTGGGATGCTTGCCCCTTTGTTTAGCTGGCTCTTGTCTCTGCCTAAAGATTTGCTGTGGGCAGTGAAGAGGGCCCTGGGTGAGTACAAAAATTTCGCAGGAATTCTGTGAATGCTCTTGGTAGCTCCTGGTGGTAGGACCTGAGTTCCTGTCTAGCCTCATCATAAATCTGCCTCTGTGCAGTGGTCCCAGCGCTGCTCAGCCCCGCCAGGCCCTCCTGCCAGCACCCTCACAGCACCATCTGCCTGCCTGGGCTTCCTCCTGTTTTCCATTTCTACAGCCTGCTCATTCTTGATGCAGCAGAGCCCAGGATTTGAGTTACCTGTTGCAGACATGGTACTCCTGGGAATAGACTTGGAGAGAATAACCCATCCAGGTACCCGTGCTCAAGGTGGATGAAGATAAGGCAAGTCTTGAATTTTCTCCTGGAAGGAACTTTCCTCTGGCTTTCAATGGGTCATTGATATAATTGCCAGTCAGTGCAGCTAACTTTAAAGTATTTTACTGCAAGTTACTATACATAATGTGTATTCTTGTTATTTCCAGAGACCAGGTCCTTTTTAGCTATTCCTTTAAAAAAAAAAAAAAAAAAAAAAAAACAATCTGGAAATCTATTGTTTTCATTTTCAGCCCCCTTTCAATCAACAACAAAAAATTTTATACTTGACTATTATAAAATTACTTTAGTAAAAGAGTTGGGGCTAGAGGTTACTGAAAATTGGATTTATTCTCTTAGTTCTGCACAAAAATGATAGCTGGTACATGCCTGATAAATACTGATTCGATTTGTCAAAGTGCTAAAGGACAGTAATTACAATAATTACCTTTCCTGTTGATATATTTTTCAAAAATATTGCACGTGTACTTCTTGCTACACAGTTTAGGTCTGTTCTTGGGTTTTGCCTTTTTGTGGTTAGCTTTGACCAGAGATGTTGCGCAGCTGGCCAGCATCAGGCCTCTGTAAAGCTGTCCATCATTCTGTGCTTCCCTCACTGCCTGGATGCCCCCATCCGGGCTCTTCTGTCTTTGTCATGGCTGTACATCCTCCTGGTGTGTAGCAGGCTTTCAGCTGTGCCCCATAGAGAAGATTCCTGCTTTCAGTGGGGGTCCAAATCAGCCTTTCAACATGGTGGTGGTGTTTTGTTTGTTTGTTTATTTTTGCTGGCTCAGCCCACCCTGAGGGTAGGGCTGGTGCTGCCTGCGATCCCCTGCTCCTGCCTAAGCATGCCTAAGCAGGCACTTTCCACCACTGAGCTAACTCGCAGGCTCCAGCCTTTCAACATGTAAAGTTGCTTTCATCCAGTGCTACAGGTGTTCCCTGAGCCTAGGGTCCATGGTGTCTAGCAAAGGGTGAAGTCTCATGCTGTGACTCTTGAAATAGCACATGAAGTAAAAGATTAAGCTATTGAATTTCAAATGTAGAATGATGCCTTTAGGTCCTAACCTGCTGCTGGTGCGTAGCTCCCCCACCTTAGGGCTCTTTTCAGGGGCTCACGCCCTGGCCTTTGTGTTTCTGGGAGCATTTGACAGAGAGAGGTCAGGAGCCCTTCCCCTTAGCGTCTTCACCAGACATTGGTCTTGACAAAAGTAAATAAATGCATAGACTCACTCTGATAATCTCATTTAGGAGGCACTAGTCCCTTTAACTTCCTATGTTAAAAAATACATAAAAAGTGGAAGAGAAAAGACAGCACCTGAGGCTTGGAATTTTTCAAACACGGGTCTTTCCATCTGGCTCCAGTGTCAGAGTTGGAGGCCGGCAAGCGCATGGCTCTTTCCTCCTCGAGACGCGTGGGAGAGCTGCCCGTGATGAAGTAAGTGGCCAGGGCATGGCAGGCTCCATTTCAGCCTCATTAGTTAGATGCTGGCCTCGGTTTAATAGGCTCTAATGAGCTATGAGATTTCCTGCTGCTGACCAAGTAGAAAGGCTATTTGACTTTTTCTTCTCCGACTTGAAATGTGTGTGGATCAACTCAAACAGGAGACTTATCTTTGGCCTTTTAAAAGGAATTTAAGTCTGGTGCCATTGCTTTCTCTCTCATTAACTTCCAAAGCTATTATTGAACCCACCAGAAAATATATACAATAATAAGCCCATGAAAATATGTTCAATGTGAGTAATCCTTCGGGAAGTGTGAATAAACCGCACAGAGAGGCCATACCTACTCATTAGGATGACTGCTATCAAACATAAAAACCAAAAAAAACACCCAGGAAAGAAGTACTGAGGAGGATGGGGCAGTCTTGGAACCTTCACGTACTGTGAGTGGGAATGTAGAGCGGGGCTGCCCTCATGGAAAACAGTGTGGCACTTCCTCCAAGTATTGGAAATAAACTAACCTGATGACCTAGAACTTTCACTTGTGGGTACAGACCCATAGAATAGAAAGCAATGTCTCAAAGCAATATCTCCTGTCCATATTGAGGAGCAGCGTTATTCACAATAGCCAAGAGATGGAAGCACACCGAGCGTCCGCCCATAGATGAATGAATACATAAAACGTGGCTTGTGTATGTAGTGGCATGTTGTTGTGTCTTAGTGGGGAAGGAAATCCTGTCGTGCTACTACACGGATGAACCTTGAGGACATCACGCTTTATGTAAACAACTAGCCACAGAAGGGCCAACAGTGTGTTATTCTATCACTGGGTACTTAGAGTTGTAAAATTCATACATCAAAAGTAGAGTGGAGATTGCCAATGCCTGGGCGAAATGGGAGCAGGAAGTTGCTGTTCCTCTGGTAGAATTTCAGATTTGTGAAAGGAAAGAGCTCTGGAGGTGGGTGACGGTATGGTAGTGCAAGAATGTGGGAGTATGCTTAACGCTGTGGAGCTATATGCTTGTAAGATGGTTAATTTTATAACTTTGCCACAGTAGACGCTAAAGAAAGGAACTGTAAAGTAGCTTTTCATCACTCTTCACTGTGCATTCTGGGCCTGAGGAGACCAGGAAGGCTTTGTCTCTGTGCAGTGAATGTCACCCCATGGCAGCCCCATCCCAGCCCTCCCTTCTCTCTCAGAAAAGGCTGCTCACTCTAACACGTGCTTGAGAACATTTTTAATGCCATTGGTGAGGTCAGCTTCTGTCACCAAACTTATTTCAGCCAAGGCCAGTTCACTGTGGTTTTCACATTTGGGGCTTTGTTTTTCCTGCTTAGTCAAGTAGAGAACAAAGGGCCACCGCTGTCCCATCAGGAGCCCCCCCCCCCCCCCCCCCCGCTGCAGCTTGTCAGCAGGTGAGTCTCGGGGCTGTGTGTCTGGTGGTGGCAGGGATGAGCCAAGCATGACTCACCTGAGCACTCTCACCTGCTCTCACACAAAGACAGGTGTTTCACTGCAGGCCAATGCTGAGCTGGTGCCTTCAAGAGACTCGAGGAACAGACAGCGCTGACTTCCGTTGCCTCTTCCGGGCAACCCTGTTGAGTCAGGCAGCTTGCAGACATCTCACATATTATCTTGACAGTGATTCTGGACACCAGATAATCTGCATGTAAAATGCTTGATAGCATTTTCTTGTATTTGTTTTGCAGGATTGCTTCGAGGAATACCTGGATTAATTTCCCATGCTTTTTAAGTGTGCTGCGCTGCTCCCAAGGCCATGTAAAGTTGGCTGACCACTAACCTCTCTCTGAGCAAAAGCCAGATCCCAGGTAATCCCAGCTCACCTACCTGCAGTTCATAGCAAGTGCATCCCTGTGTTCAGGTAATAATAATGGCTTATAAGAGTAGGAGGTTATCTGCATGACTGGCAATGTCAGAAGTTGTTGACTTGAGCCGTTTACAGCTCAGCATATTACTATGGCTTTACTTTTTATACTTCATTTTTATACTTTTCTGCTGGATGGTTAAGACCAAGATAAAGCAAGACCTATATAACAAAAAATGTAACTTTTGTATCTGACAAGTTCAGTCAGATCCCCTCAGGATTTACCCCGAAACCCTGTACCTCAGTTGTAGATATTTTGTCAGTGTCAGCCATTATAGACTACTGGTCTATATTGGATTACTTTGCAGAATTCATGCACCTACAATATATGAATGACAGTGGAATACCCATCTCTGACAAAAGTAAACAAAAAAGGGGGACATAAATAAAGGACCATTTTATAGTGAAAAAATATGTCTGTATATACAAAATAGTTAGCATAGATATACAACTACTTTCTCTTAGTTCAATAAGAAAGTTTGAACTAATCATGCTTAGACAAGATGTCATGTCTGTATCTTGTACTATGAATACTACAAAGACAACAATATGCAATGTATTAATTATTATAGCTGTCCTAACCTGTTTTGAAACTGTCTCATTGCAACTTCTTTCTCAATAAAATTAAATAAAAACAAAAAATGGCTTAATTATTTGGTCCTGTCATATTTTTAAAAATTTGATAACTGCCACCAAAGAAAAGCCAATCCATTTGACTTCTGTTTTGCACCTGTAGATCCTTAGAATATGAAAGAACTTAAAAGCCTACTAGCTTTGCCTGGGAACCTAGCTGGAGACGCCAGCTCCAACTTGCCATGCTAAGAAAGGAAAATGGGGCAAGGTTTGGAGTGGGTGTCACTTTGCACTTGGCTTCACTGGGTCTGAGAAGGGGCTTTGTTCTGCTGTGCACACTCTAACCAGTCTACTGTGGATGTGCCTCTCCTTATGCTGTGAAGTGAGGGTGCTTGATGGCTTTGCACCGCTCTGGAGAGTCACTTTATGAAAATATTTTTATGTCCCAAATGGAAGCTCTTAATATGATCCTTTTTTTTTTCAATTTCAGCTTTGTTTTTGAGAACTTATATTACTGGTCTCTTGTGATATTCATACTCTGTGGTATGTGAGGACTCCTAGAGTCTAGTACCTGGGTTGTGTTATTACAAATGGAGCTTTTGTGAAAAGTCTTTTATGAAATCAGCCTTCTGTATCCAGGGGTCGTGCACCCACAGATTCAGCCATCTACAGCTTGAATGCACTTTTTTTTTATTGTATCTACTAAACATGTGCAGATATTTCTCGTCTTTACTTCCCAAACAATTAAAATATAGAACGGTTATTTACATGGCAATTACATGGTATTAGGTATTATAAGTAATCAACAGGTGATTTAAAGTGTTTGGGAAGCTATGCATAGATTATATGCAGATACAGTGATACCTTGGAGCCAAAAACAGATTGTTTTGGCTCAGAAGGGTAGCAAATCACAAGGAAATTGGTTCCAGTTTGTATGTCAAATACCAAATAAATGTTGCGTACAAGGACAACATTTTTCATTAAAATGTGTTGAGTACCAAATTTTGCAAGTTTCAAAGCAATAGAGACCAAGGTATGAGTACACTACCATGCCATTATAAATAAAGGACTTAGGCATGGAGGGTTTTGGTGTCTGATTCCCCAATATTAATGGGTCATGAGCTCTGTAGTCACTTACATGAAATGTGTCTCTCTGGTCAATGAAAGACTGTGTGTCTGGACTGACATTTTAAAGACTGGAAGAGCTAACAACTCACTCTGCCTTAACTTTTCTTTTCAGGAATTGTCAGTTCAAAACCTGCCACCACCAAGCCTGAGAGAGATCTCTACCTTCAGGCGATTTTTATACTTGTGCAAGTCTGCAATGACATTGTACTACAAATAATGTGTTTAAAATAGCCCATGGGTGTGCAGCAGTAGCCTTGTGCAACAAGGGGAGCCAACTCAGTAAGTAACTCTTGTCTCTACTTGTGAACTGGGTCAGGCACAGAAGAAAGTTGTTTCCTATACGATGCACAAAGAGGTTATTTTTTAGAAAGTCTAGTGATAATGGGATGTGATTTAGGTGATGGCTTTTACTGATGTGGCTGTACTTAATTTAGGTTAAAATGGGCAACTCCGAGAGTCAGTACACCCTTCAAGGATCTAAAAATCATAGCAATACTGTTACTGGTGCTAAGCAAAAGCCTTGCTCCCTGAAAATACGTAGCATTCATGCAAAGGACGAGAAGTCGCTGCACGGATGGACTCACGGAAGCAGTGGAGCAGGGTATAAGTCCAGGTCCCTGGCCCGCAGCTGCCTTTCTCACTTCAAGAGTCATCAGCCTTATGCGTCAAGACTCAGTGGGCCCACGTGCAAAGTGTCCAAAGGCATCACCTATGCCAAGCACAGGACAAGCACCTCAGGAAATGATTTCCAGGGCAACAGAGCTGCTTTCTCATCAGAGAACAGCTTCCACTACGATGACCACAAGCCAGCAGACAACCGCATCACCTCGCGAGACTGCAATGGACACCTTCTCAACTGCTATGGGAGAAACGAGAGTGCTACCCCCACTGCCCCAGGTGAAGACCGCCGTAGCCCCAGAGTGCTCATCAAGACACTGGGGAAGCTGGATGGGTGTTTAAGGGTCGAGTTCCACAATGGTGCTAACCACAGCAAAGGGCCTGCGGAGGACCCCAGGGGTCCAGTGCAGCTGCTGAGGTACTCACCTACATTGGCATCAGGAACCTCCCCTCTGCCAGAAGCCAGGAGGGACTCTGGTGCTGACTCCCCAGCCAGCCAGCGCCCTTCTCCCACTGACTCTCGCCTTCGTTCCAGTAAAGGCAGCTCTCTGAGCTCGGAGTCGTCCTGGTATGACTCCCCTTGGGGCAATGCAGGAGAGCTGAGCGAGGTGGAAGGCTCCTTCCTAGCTCCCAGTACGCCTGATTCCAGCCTTCAAACCAGCTTCCCACCTGATGATGTCAAAAAGCCTTTCAACCAAAGCTCTTCCCTCTCTTCCCTTCGGGATCTGTACAAAGATGCCAACTTGGGGAGCCACTCCCCCTCTGGCTTCTGCCTTTCTGATGAATATATCGATTCCCACACCAGCCTGAGCAATCGCGTCTCTTTTGCATCTGACATTGATGTGCCCTCCAGGGTGGAGCAAAGGGACCCCATCCAGTACAGTTCCTTCACCCTCCCCTGCCGGAAATCCAAAGCCTTAACCGAGGATACTACGAAGAAGGACACCCTCAAAGGCAGAATGCGACGCATCAGCGACTGGACTGGAAGCCTCTCCCGGAAGAAGAGGAAACTCCAGGTGAGGACACTGCAGAACCGAGGGGATGGTCCCTGAGTTTCCCTATCTGTTACATGGGCATGGCATTGAGGAGTTACCTGGAAGCCTAGGTAAGCGAGTGGAAGGGAAGCTCTTAGTGCAAGACCTGGTACACCTGTGCAGGTGGGGTTTTTCTTCCTTATTTGCATGAGATGCATTTTTACATTTAGCCCAAACTTCTGTCTCTCCATGTCTTAGCGGATGCAGTGAGCAAGCCAAATGCCGCAGACTAGGTGGGTTGTACTACGGGCAGATTCCTTCCTGTTCTGGAGGATGGAAAACCAGAGATCAGGGTGCCAGAATGGTCAGATGTGGGAGAGGCCCATCTTAGCTGCAGATAGCCTCCTTCTCACTTTGTGCTTGCCTAGTAGGGAAGAGAGAACCCTAGTCCCCTATAAGGACGTGTGGTGTCATCTAAATCTAATTCCCCTCCCAAGGTCCCATTGCCCAGGACCATCCCACTGGGGGTTAAGGTTCAACATAAGTATTTTGCAGGGATACAAGAATTAATCATGACACCCGGATTCCATGCTGGCCTCTCTCATGATGTATGAGCTCTGCACACCTTCTTGTAGGACCTCACCACTATCAATTAACAAGGCTGGGGAGACTCACTGGATGAATGAGTTATTGGGATTTTGATAGAGGTCTTTAAACCTAAGCAAGAAAAAAAAAAAGGTTATTTTTAGAGAAGTAGGCTCCCTGAAGTTGGTATTTCTTGGAGAAAATTTAACTTGCTCTGCTGAAGTCGGAAGGCAGCTATGCTCACCACTGTACCACCAACGCAGACTGCTGAAGTTGGTGTAGGAAAAGTTTATATCTATTGTGTAATCTGGCCACATCCTCATAGCTAGTCAGATTTTGAAAATAGTTTATATCCAGGTACATGTAATAACAAAAATATAATATTGAATAGGAAGCATAATGATAGTAATTTTCAAGTTATATAAAGTTCTATTAGGGGAACAAAGTGGCTTAGCCGCCAGGAAGAAGAATAACAGCCTGCCTTTTTAGAGTCCAGTGGCATTTGTTAGATGTTTGGGTGGTGGTTGTTTTTGCTTTTAATTATAGAAGGGAGAAAACTGTTCTCTTCATTGTGCAGTGTAAGCCAAAGAGTTGAGGCAAATTTGAATGGGCTATTAATTTCTAGTACAGTTGTCTTAGTCATTCTAGATAAATATATAAAATTGTGTTGCACTTTAAGAGTTAAAAATAATGAAACTGCCCTGAGTCAATGACTTCCGGTTCATACAGTTGACCACTGGTTACTTCCTGCTTGCCACGGTCACCAACCTGGAGACTCTGCTTGGGTGCCCATTCTGCTTCCCACAGAGGTGAAGAGCAGGTGAAAGTCATCCTGTCTCTAGGGTCTCTCCATTTTCCCAAATACAGTCATTTGCTTACTCCATAGTTATCACTTCTTACACTAAACTACAAAATAGTGGCGATTTCTTTGGCCTTTTTCTTTTGCCTCCCACTTCCCGAACAGCAATAATAGCAGAGCACGGTGGGGGCGCAGCCCCTGCAGACTCTGGCACTGCAGCCCACGCTGAAAGCTCTGCATTCTCTTGACTTGAGTGTTCCAGGGGCAGTCCATGTTCAGCTGCCAGGGACACAACTTACCTAGTGTGTCCCCTACTCGATGCTGGCCGGGAGCCAGTTACTGCCCATGTCCCACTTGCGCTGCGTGTGCCTGTGCCCTGCTGCACACACAGCTCCATGGAACCCATTGAGTTCGCTTCCCAGTTCAAGGGCTGACCACTGTTCTCACGTGCAGGCCCTCACTGCTCAGCCCAGCCCGGAGAAGTGAACCTCCTCCAGGTTTGTGTCATCTGAAGACTTAACTCTGAGGGGTTTGGGTTCCTGAAGATTTAAGAACACAATGGTTAGGAAAGCTAGAAAGGATCCCCCTTGTTAAAGACACAGAAGCTGAAGACCTGTGGAGTTTGAGGGTCCTTCCTGAAGGCACGTGCCTAGTCAGGGGGAAGGAGAAGTTTATTTTGCCTCACAGTCCATAGTCAGTTGGCTCCAAGGCAGGGTGGCATGGCAGAGGGGCATCGCGGAGGAGGAATAGTCCATGGCATGGAGGCAGGAAGCAGCAGAGGGATCCAGGGAGGGGGAGGGAGCTGCACTCTTCAGGCCACGGCCCAGTGACCCACCTCCTCCAAGCAGGCTTCACCTCCCAAGTCACCTTTGATCATAAGCTCACCAGTGACCAAGCTGCCGATGACTCCACGCATCCTGGATCCAGTCACCTTCCCGGAACCCCACCTCTGATCATGTGAGGCTTTGGGGGACATCTAGATAGAAACTGTAACAAGGACTGATGCCATTTCTATAAAACCTGGGACCTTTTCCCCTCAGCCCGTAGCCCAGGTAGTGTTGATCGCTACCATTAATTATTTGTAGCTATGGAATAATAAGATAAAATACTTAAGGGTTTTTTTAAAAAGTGGCCCATGAAGGCAGCTTTTAAATTTTGCTTGTGTTTCCACAATTGATAAATCTGTAAGTGGGAAAGGAACTAATTGTTGTTTAATTTTTTTGCAAGGATGCCACTTGTGTTGGCCAGAGCTTTATTTTCCTTTTACAATTTAAAGCAGACATCAGGATTAGATTTTTAAAAACTGCAATCTAGGCATAGGAGCAATTTGTGATACTATATCATAATAAAGCAGCAGACTACTGCCCTACCACCCTCTCCCTCTCTCTAATTCCTGCATGCCAGCAAGGTGGTGGTTCAGAGAGTCTGGCCTGATGTGTAGATGTTTGTTTTGACTTTTGAAAAAGGGATGTAAGAGAGAGCAATCTTTTATGTATAGGGCTTTGAACCTGCCCTTGCGGGAGCCTGAAAGCAGATTAATCCATAAAAAACCTACACAACTCCAGAGGAACAGCACATCAGTAAACTGGTGAGAGAGGAAAGTAAGAGAGGGAACGTGTGCTGGTGGTAATATGTGCATGAATCACACGAACTCTTCCTACTAAGAATCTTAGGTACAGTGAGACCTTGATGACCTGGTTCAACATGCAGTTGC